CGACTACTACTACTGCTTCTACACCCACGTTCGTACATCCACGCATACAGACATGCATGCAGATATGTTTTCTCGCTCTCGCTCTCTCTATGCTTGCTTTTTCCGCATGAGTTGGTATATGTGGTGTTATCAATCTTTGTTGAATCGTCCTGTTTATCATTCCCATCAATCATCATCAGTATCACCGTTATCACCGTCACTACCCAATCATCATCAGTATCACCGTTATCACCGTCACGAAACCCACCACAAGCACTTTAATCATCGTCGCCATCATTTCTGTCGTCATACTCCTGGTTTTATCAGCATCATCGTCAGTTTTGGCATCATCATCATTGTCATCTCGACGTCGCTTTTCTTTTGGATCGTCATTCGAACTTTATGATAATGTAAAGCACAATAAGTGATATGCTTGAGCATCAAGCACAAGAGGTCGGTGGGTAGATCATGCTATGAGGGCATAGATTTGTACCTTGCGTCTGTTACACATGATGCTCTGATATGGCATTGTGGTGGCTATTCTTACACTTGCATCCATGCCTGCACCTTGTATGCAATCTCAGCCCCAAGTCCGAAACGATCAGGTTCATGGCACCTTCGGGCGGGACGCTTTGCACGGCCATGGGCCCACTGGCCTCATCCAGGCAAGGCTGTAACGTCAGGGTACAGCACTTCGGGCAGTTGGACTTCAACAAGTGCTAGGTTTTGAGGCTGTGTGGAATCTCAAGTTTGGTGTTCAGGGTGACTTCCGAGAAACTCACTACCTGTTCAGAGATGTTTCTTCCAACGTTATTTGAGGATGTCGACAAGTCTTTCGCCACCTTTTCAACCCAGAGCAAACTTCAATCCCAAACCAGCGTAAATGTCTTGTTGCCTTCGAAACATAGCATAGATTTTGCAGAGGCCGCGGACCATAGTATGTTGAGGCTCCGGTCGACAGATCCATGTACGAGTGGACTCGACGATGTGAGATCAGTGAGAGACTGGGTTGCCATCTTCTCGTGCAGAAGCTGTGAGGTTCAGTTTTTCGGGTTTGCTCTTAAGAGTCGTGGTGGAGACAACAGACGTGGGCTTCGAGTTTTGGATGATTGTTTCAGGTCGGCTTTTCAAGCTAGGTCTCGGGATGTGTCCGGCCTTAGATCTTCATTGATTCATGTTGGTGGGCCGGGTCACTAAAGATTAACCATGCTTGCACTTCGCGACAGGTGCATGCACTTTTGATAATTTTATCTGTTCCTCAACCTTAAAGTTTTTACCCTTACAACAGTCTCGGGCTTGGAAACTGACCTGTGGAGCCAAAGTCTAACTGCTTCCTACGAACAAGGTCTTCTGCCGACCCTTAGCCGTCATCTTTCTGACTTTCTCTGTGTCGGTGTATTTGCCCTTGCTCTTAGTCCTGCGGTGGTTGATCGATTAAGTTGAGGATGAGCGAACGATTTTGGTGATGATGTTGAGCATCAGTCTTCATCACATTAACAGTTGTCACCATGAATGTAGCTGCAGCCGGAACTGTTCTTACCACTTCTCAGCTCGTGGGACCATACGTCCCGCACTCCATGGTCCTGGAGAGGAGAAGGTGTGTTGGTAGTCTGTTTCCGGTGGACATAGCTCGGGAGCTTGTGGAATCACAGGGGCTTTGCCACCAATTGTAATGGGATCAGATGGAACACAACAAATACATGCAAGATACTACGGAGGAAATTGGTGCGTATTTGCGTACGAATGTCATTCGTTCATCAGTCACTCATGACTCGAAGGGGAGATCTTGAGCTTTTTAGGAGTTGTAGCCTGTGACCAACCCTTACACATTCAGCTGCGCCGAAGCTGAACCATCCAATAACTGCACACGTCAAGATCTCACCCTAAATCGGTAAAGAACATCATAAAGTAGAAGCTTCGCACCCGTTATGGCCGCTCAAGTCCCGAACCCAAAGGAACGGGCAGTCAGCCTCGACTCTCTACGAGCGCATTGCCGAGTACGAGAGTCGAGATCGCAAGGCCAAGCTAGTGAGCCCGCTCTTCCGTGTTGCATGTCATAAGTGAAAGAAGTTCAATCTCCAAGCCCCCAATCAATCCCTGAATCCCTCAACCATCCTCTCATGAATATGGGGGTTGGGGGCTCTGCTGGAAGCAGATACGAACCTCGCAGCCATGTGCCTGAAGTACTGGGACAAGTAAGGGGGGAAGTAGCCCGAAACCGAGAACACCATCGCGTTGGACCGCGCGGAACATCGCAGAGTAGTGGGATAGGGACGTGCTGCATCAGGCACGCTACACGTTGCTGCACTGCCGGCTGCTGACCGGACGAACTCATCAGATCCGGGTGCATATGGTTCCTCGCCGGTTAAGCCGCTCCGATCCTGTCCATTGCTGAAGTTGAGCTTAAGCAAGTTTGTGTGGTGAAGCTTGTCACGAGTGGTCGCGACGTTTGAGGCTGAGGTAGAGCGCATCTTGGTTGATGCACTAAGGAGTACATCGGCATGCCTCTGGTCGGGGATCGGCAGTGTCTTGAATTGAAAAGGAAGGTTGGGTAGAATTGAAAGCTCTCAACCGAAACCTGCAACATCTAGGGATTTTGCTTCAGTGAGGAAACAGCTTTGAGAATTCGTGGACTATGCTCGTCACTGTGTTTGGACCTGTCGCATGACATACGGACTAAGTTGCTAAGCCGAATCCAAATATTTGTGTGCACTCTTGCTGTTGTGTCAGATTTCATTCCGAAGCAAGAACACGCAGCCACATTGAGGCTGCAACTGCAAGCTGATTCAGGTACTGGCGTCATCGCCAAGCGGATGACTCTAACCTCGGGTGCAACCGGACCTTCCTGCACAAGGCTGATGGGCTTTCAGGTCTCGGGGCAGGAGAACCGACGGCTGCTCTCGCACAACCGTCGGAGCATAGCGTTTACGAGCAGGCAAATGAACCTTTGATGATGCTCCAAACTAGTTGTGTACGTACTGTCCCAGGACACCGAACATGTTGGGCCTGCAGCACCTCAGAAGCAGCGACAGACCCCGCCCGAGAAAAGTAAGTCAGAACGTGTGGAACGCCGCATTCTCCATCTCCAATGTTTGAACACAAGAGTTGCAACGATGCGACGACGACACGGTAGGAGGAAAAGGAGGAGGAGGAGCAGGAGCAGGCGGTGGCAGTAGCAGTAGCAGGAGCAGAGGCAGTAGCCGTAGACGTAGCAGCAGCCGCAACTGCAGCCGTAGCCGTAGCGGTAGTGACAGTAGTAGGGCAGCAGCAGCAGCGGCAGCAGCGGCGGCGGCAGCAGAAGCGGCGACAGCGGCAGGAGTAGTCGTCGTCGTCGTCGGCATCATCATGTACATATCTTTGTAATCGTACTGTGCATCCTACAGCCTCAAAGGGTTTTTTCCTTGTCGTGAATCAAGCCCTGTTCAAACCTAAACCTGCAGCAGCCACCAGACGACCGACTTCGTAGACTGCAAAGCTATGATCCGTTAGTAATCCTTTAAGACAATCCTTTAAGACAATCCTTTAGGACTCCAACTCCCAAACAGTTTGCCCGGAAGCCCCGCGCACATCCGCAAACCCTGAAAATTCAGAGCTTCATGGCCAGACCTGACTCATTTTCTGGTCGGGCAGAGTTCGTTCGTGCAGGTAAGGTTCATCCTCTGGACGTGTCCGTCTAGTGAGCCGGTTGCATCTCGGCAGCACGCGGTTTCGGAATTGAAGCGGGGTTTGTAGAACGCTTGCTTGGATGCAGGGTGTTCGCGAGGCTTAGTCCTGAATCTTAAGGTCGTGTGGTCGCCACTGAAGTATGCAGCCGACCTGTGCGAGGTGCTGAAGAAGCTGAGGCCAGGGCAGACTAGTGGGACTTAGGCTCAGGAACCAGTCAGAGTGCAGCAGACAGGTTTTATTCAGACGCGTCGTGGCATCTGTCCGAAGGGCGAGGATCAAAGCCGTCCGGAATTGAAATCTTAAGCCGGAAACCCCAATTCCCAAATCAAAGCCTATTGAATCCCAGTCCTAAGCCCCAATCCCCGCCAAAGCAGAAACCTCAAGCATTAACCTCTGCCAGCAGTCCCGACTCCTTAAAGCCCTCGACCTTGGACCCTGACGCCTAAACAATCTGAACCCCGAAATCGCACAACCTTTGCAGGAGAACGCAAGGATACGACTTTCCCGACGCAGAAGTGTGAGGCAGCAGCAAAAAAGCTGGGGGCATCTTTTGTCAGGAGGTGTTTCGATTTTGTGCAGCTTTATCAAGACAAGCTCCGTGTAGTGTCGTTCTGTCGGGGCTAGCAACCTTTGAACCGACCTGGAACACCCCGCTCAGGCCTTCTTCGGGAACGGGGACCCCAAACACGCCCAGCCCAGGAATGGTTGAGAGATTCCATAGCTGCATGTAAGGCAAGAATCCTGCACGCCTAGAGTCACGACGTTGAATCCGCTGGCCATTCTTGCAACAAACCCTTCACGGGACAAATTGGGAAGATACTCATACGATGAAGGGTTCATCGACGAGGAATGCATCACCACGTATTCAGGGTTCTTCTGTCCAGCCAAGGATCGGATTCATGTTGGAAACTTAGCATCAGTGCCGCAAGTAGGTTTCTACCGCCTTGTCCCACGCTCTCGCAATGCATAGTTGCTGATTCCTGGGCACGGCTTTTGGAAGCTGAAACATTCCGTCCAAGAAGCTCCGTTTGGGTCGATTCTCCGACTCTCCAGTGCTGTTTGATTCCTCTTTCCAGAGGTCTTTGCACTTACACTCTTGGCTCCAGAGACCAAGGTAGCGTAGCGACGCAGAGTCGTGGCCAACCCAGAAGCGAGTTGTACAGAAACAATGCTTTCCCGAGAAAAAAGTAATGTTCAAACCGGATTTTGCAAGTCTGCAGAATCCAGCACTGAATAGTGATAGAAACATCTCTTGGATGTTAGATATGACCAATGGAAGGTAACAAGGCAGCTGCTTGCTTTTCAGAAATCTTTAGGTTTGCACTTGAGCTCTTGAGCGAAATCTTAACCATGCGATGAAAAAGAAGCACAGTGCCGCTGGGGTCCGCCTCATCGTGGAAGCAACGCTTGAAGGCAGGGACTTTCATGAGCTTTCGGAATAGCTGCCCTTGAAATTGACATGCGGCGGTAGCAACCCTAAGCAAAGAACGTCGGAAGGGCTTGGGAGAGATTCCTGCAAATTCCTGGTGCCATGTTGAGCATACCTTTTTTCCGACACTGCCACACAACATGAAGCGTGTGTAGCTTGGGCCAAGCTCCTGCAATGTGCCTCGTGGAGGCAAGGGATATGGGAAGACACAGTACAAGGCCAGAAGTTCTGCAAGAAGTTAGGTTGGCAGGGTTTCGATGTGCAGCAAGTCGTGAGTTCAATGGCGTGCTATCGTGTAAGAGGCCAGCGAAGCAGATATTACACTAAGGTCTACGAGGCAGTTGCAGGGCTGAAGGAGGATGGGAAGCGCGAAGCTCCCTACCTGTTCGTCTGGCTGCACGGCATGGACTGACTCTGTTTGTGGTCGAAGCGAGGGTTGCGAATTTCGGCCTCTCGCAACAAAAAGTGCCGGTTCTTCAACAAAGCTTGGTCAAGCATCTGTTTCGGCACTCCGCAGTTTCTGGACATCTCGCATCTGCACTGCTGTCTTGCATCTGTTATGTTTCATCCCGCGACTCGTGCAGGACAACGGCATGATCGAGCCTGCGTACCTGCGGACGATGCAGACTAGAATGAACCGCCGCGTGATTTTCATGGTGCCGCTGCGGATCAGAGAGTCAGTTCGGTTGGCGTGTGAGGCTGATGTATCGGTTTGGGTCTCTTGTTCCAAGAACTACCGGATGTGCCCAACGCCAAGCAAGGTTCCGAAGAGCCCAAACACGACGGCTGATGGCTGGCACTTCAACTGGGGGTGCTGCTTCTCCAAGAGCGACAACAAGAAGCAGCTAGGCATTCGCTGCATTTTTACATTGTCTTCTACCTGTTGATTTGAGCGTGCGACATTCAGGCGTGAGGATGTCTACTCCCGTGCGTCGATTCTCAGGAGGTTCCTTTACGTTCTAGATTTTAATCATAGTGCTACTCAGAACAACAGCAAGGAAGCCTCCGCAGTGAAGGATGGCAGAGCTGGGCGGCCATGAGAACAGAAAAGCACTCATGTCACTGTCAGCATCATCATCGTAACACTAATGTACCCATGCCTCTCTTGGGATTTTGCTGGCAGGCTACGTCTTCGGCTCGCTGCATCTGGACTTCTGCATGCTTATTATAATTGAGCTGTGGCTGGCTGTGTGACCCCGGTAGCTTGAGATTGGGCATCACAGGTTTGGAGGTTGGCTTGCATGCGTTTGTTGAGGACTATTTGCGCGACCTCACTGCAAAGATCAGCGAGATCGCATCCATCTTTCAAGCAGAGAGAACGTTGGTGATGGGGTCGCTGGGCCGCACAGAATAATAACATCCGTGGAACTTGGACTGCTGCAAGCTCTGTCTGAAAGCTTGTGCTCTAAATCAGATTCACCAGAATCCATAGACCCTACATCAACGTCTTAACTCCCACCACGGTGCTCAGATACAGCATGGGTGGCTTCGGGGCCTTTCAGCTCGGGGCGATGGCTCCTGCCTCCTGGCTATAGCGTAGCGGGGAGTGTCTGAGGGGCTTTGTCATGATGAGGATCCTACCTTCCTGGCTCTGCATGGGGTTTCTCATTCTCTTCATCTCGCTGAAGCTCCGGACCCATTTGGGGCTTAGGAATCTGCAGCAACGTCCCAGCCAAGGACGTCTTTGACGTGGTGGTTTCCGTTGCCGGGTATGGATTGGGGACTTTGGAGCCCCAAGGCCAGTAACAAACTGAGCATGTCCTCGGCGTGGGCTCGAGACACTTTCCTACCAAGTCCAGGCTTTTGTGGACCAGTCTTACATACGTAATATATAAATGAATGGTTTGAGCAAGCGCATTAACTAAGTAAACAGATATGCATGCATGGACGTACGTATAGTATAGTATAGTATGGATGCGTGTATGTACGTACGTACATACGTAGGTAGGCAGGTAGGTAGATATGTATGTATATATGTGTACATGATAAACAAACGAATACATAAAAAAAGTCAATATATAAATAACTAAATAACCAAACACATTAAGAACATATAAATATCAATATCAGTATCAGTATCAATATATATATATATATGTATACTCGCCCCCTTTTCAAGATCCACGTTTTTGGAGGTTCATGGGGCGTTGGGTGCACGAAACACTGGAATGCCCAACAAATTCCAATCCAACATCTTGAAATTCATGGCCAGGCCGAGGGCAGATTCCTCAAAAGTGTTGGAGTTCATGAGTTTTTGTCGAGTGTTACGCTGTTTCGTGAGTTTTGAAATTGGAAATTTTGGACCTTTTTGAACACTACAGTGTTTAGTGAGGTTCAGGACACGAAACACTTTAATGCTCAGCACAAATACAAAAATCCCAACTTTTGGAGACTTCCCTCCCCCAGCCATAGATGCCAGAATCTTTTGAACTTTCGAGCATTACAGTGTTTCCTCAGTTTCAAGGTTTGAAAGTTGGGTTTTTTTGAAGCGTTACAGTGTTGTGTGAGGTTCAGGCCACGAAACCCTGTAATGCTCAACATTTTAGAGATTTTCGCCCCCAGCACCGCCATGGATGCCATAATCTTGGAGTTTCTGGAACTGTGAGTTTTAGGGTTTGAAATTTTGAGAATATTTTGAGCATTTCAGTGTTTCGTGATGTCCAGGACACGAAACCCTGTATCGCAAGATAAAAGGGGGCTCTCTTCAGTCTTCAATGAAGAGGGCCCATCTTAATCCGACTTTACTTCATACTAAGAATGGAAGAACTCGTGTACGGTCTGCTATCATTTTAGGACAATGGCGACTGTCTTTGCTCCTTCCTATGAAATAGGAGTTTTCATTTACTCTGATTGATGCTGTCTGATTTCCTGGAAAAAGAGAATGATCTCTATGTCCACGGTTGTTACTCATAGAAGGCAGCACAACATTAAGAGAAGCGCTCTTCAATTTTCAAGCAGTACCCGTTAGATTGCATTAGATCTTTTCAACAGACAAACAAAGGTTTGTTTACTGGTATGTTTTGCGAAATGGAGAAGAAAAAGCCTCTATTAACTCTAATTGAAGGTGCGTCCCTCATACCCTGAAAACAGACACCGATCGGTCTGTCCATGGCTGTGGTTTAGACGCTGTCATAATTTATATCACAAGATACCAAAAAGCTCTCTTCAGTCAAGGAATAGATTGAATAGATGTTATTTATCGTGAAGCAGCAGAAGTTTACGTGGCTCTTGCTTGATAAGTATGAAGAGGGCCCATCTTAGCCTTCATACTGAAGATTCTTTCACATGCGCCATCAATATAAAGCCTTCCTACACTTCTTCCTGTGAAACAGGAGTTTTCAACCACTCTTATTGATGCTGTACTATATCCTCAAAAAGAAATACCGATTGCTGTGTCCTTGGTTGTCGTTCTAATTGCTGTCATAGATGGTGTCACAAGATAAAGAGGAGCTTTCTTCCATAAAAGTTCCAGCTTACGTTTGTTACAAAGATAGGAGCCCGTAACTCTTGATTGACAAGTATCAAGAGGTCCAATCAGTTTTACTCCAGCTTCATACTGGAAGGTTGAAGGAGCTCCCTGAATCCTTGCTGTCGAAGAGCCTTCTTACGGGCCCGCTTATGAAACTAAATCTCAGTCACAGAGAGGATGCAATAATAGAAGCTTTCGTTTATTGGATTTCGTTTACTTATCTCAGTTAGAGAGAGCTTTCGTCAATTGCGTTTCGTTTATTTAAAATGACAAGGAGCTCTCTCCGTCTTCTCATTATTAAACCAAACGGTAGAGCCACTAGGCACCCAGTAAGCAAAAGCGCAATCGGACCCTTCCGGCGCACATACACATATACCTCTATATATATATATATGCACGTATTTGCATATAGACACACACAGATACATTGTCGCAACAGAGAATGTGTAGCATCTTTGTGGTAATAGGAATTAACACACGTTGAAAGGCGTTGGCCGCAAAAACATTCGAGGCTTAGTATCACACAGACAATCTTGGGACGCCCTCCATCATGTTCAGCTTCTCCAATACATAATCTGTCCTCAATCTGGGGCCGAGATTCGGCATCAGATTTGGACGCATGCCACATTCGGGACTTGTAGCCGCAGGGTTTGTATGCACATGACGAAAGGCACGAGTTTACCGGTATTACAGCGCTCTCGGTATATCTGGTCGTGTACCAAGATGGCGAACCAACAGCGCCGGTGTGGATCTTGGGGCGGGGGGGGTAGTAGGTGACAATATATATATATATATACACACACATACACTTGTTCATGTATGCATTTACGCATGTATGTATGTATGTATGTAGGTATGTATGTATGTATGTAGGTATGTATGTATGTATGTATGCATGTATGTATGTATGTATGTATGTATGTATGCATGTATGCGTATGTATGTGTATGTATGTATATATGTATCCGCACGCCTGCGTGCAGGCATGCATACGCTCTGGGTCATGTGTTCTGTTAAAGATTGCAGGTGAGATGTACGATGCGCCGCAACCGCGAGCAGGGGAGCGATTTGAACTCTTCCTTCGGCAGGTACGGATCGGGGGGCTTGCAAGGTCCCCATTTCCATCTGGGTTTAGGGTTTCGGTTGTTTTGTGTCTTGGGCCACGGGGCTCCGCACTTTTGCCACAGAGTCGTGTCTTAGTCATGTGGTCTTCAGGCCCTTTGGTCCTCTTGTCTTCTGGCCTCCGGCTCTCCTCCTCCTGCTGGTCCTCGTGGTCCTTTGGTCGTTGATCTGCAAGACCTCTATAGACAGATGTGCCTGGGGGTGAGGCCCCGCCACCCCTTTCCCCACCCCGCCCCCCGCTGAAGCCGATCCAAGCCCAGCTAATTTTGAGACTGCTCCTCGCTTGCACTTTGTACCATCATTGCTTCACAGACACAGAACGAACCCCCTCAACTTGTTATTTCCAAGTATTTTGAGGCAAAAGGGAGCCTTGCTAAGTGTAACTCCCCAATAAACGTAAGGCAAGGCAGCACCCTGCAATCGGAATTCCCGAATACTTAGACTGGCAAAACGAAGCCTTGCAAATTAGAGCCCCTACATACCGACGAAGTCTGCGCATCCCGCCTGTAGGTGGCAACAAGGCTGAGCGTCGTGCCAGTCGTTCTTGCAATGCACGCAAGGACCCTCTGCAAAAAGCTGTCTTTGTGCGTTGCATTCCTGGTCTAGTCTTGTTCTTAGAGTGTCTTCGGGCCTGTTCTGGTGAGGTTTCACATCATCTCTATTTGCAACCGCGAGACGACTTGTGACAAATGCTTTGAGCTTAGAGTTTCCATAGAATTATGCTATGTGCGCGAGGAAAGACTCGATGTCAAGCTTCCGAGATGCTGCCTCGACTGCATGATGATGTGGGCTTTGTGCATTTGTTTCGTATCGCTGCGTGAAGTGGAGGAGAAGTAGAACAAGCAGGGGCAGGTCAAAACAACGCACAGCAACAGCAATAGTCACGAGCCTTTCTTGTGAAGTATGCAGCATGATGAACAAGATACTGCAGATCTGGAATCTGAACAGTTAAGCGAATTTGTTCCATCTTCATTGCATCACCTTTACCCACACCACCTTCATCACCTGCACTACCATCGTCAGCACCACAACTACTACAATCGCCCCCCATCACCAAGTTTCATCTGTCACTGCGACCACAGCTACCACGATGATCATGGCCATCGCGACCGTCAAGTCGAGTACCACCAGCACCTTACCATCATCATCCTCGTCGCCGCCATTATGTCCATCAGGCTCATCTCAGGCTGCTTGTCCTATCGTCAGGATTCGCGCGGAAGGGCCAGACTACCGGCTGTCTCTAAGCAATTGGAAGAAGAACTAATTCGAATGGGCTTGGATCCAGTGTTGTGCCGCCGTGCAAGCGGAACTGCCCCGCAAGGTGTATGCAATCATTCATCACGTGCAGGCACAGCCGGCTTAGTCTTCCTTCGGTTTCAGGGTGAAACTCAGGGGTTTAAAGTGAGAGGGGATGGGTAACAGATGTTCATGAGTGACAATGCAAATAAAGGCAGCTTCCTGGAGCTTCGCAACACTCTTCATCTTTGCTCTTTGTGGCAACATCCTTCTGCCAGGAAGAAAGCATCAAGAAAGGTTCTGACAGCATCGTGCAGCTCTTCGAGGCCCCTTCCTTCAGCGAGCACTTGTTGTGGCCTTCCCATGTGCTCAGATGGCATTCCATGAGTTTCGGTATTGCTGCATTCTGACTGGTGCCGGTGAGAAATGATGTGGGTTTTCCCTGACCAATGAACAACAGATGGTTGGAAATAGACCATTGAGGACGTTCTTGCAAATGGAAGAGGCAAGGCTAGAATAAGTCAGTTCGGGGGCACTCCCTTCTGTGGGACCCTTGCAGGGCCTTTTGCACAAAGAAAACCCGCAGGAACAAGAGACTTCGTTTCTGTTTGCATGTGTGGGCTAATCGGCGACTTAGAAAGCAGCAAAATTTGTTATTCGTAAGCAGCCATGGGCCTCGAGTTGTCGTGACGTACACAGCACAGCGATTGAAGGGCACGGAAGCAGGAAGCGGGCCTGCTACAAGCACCTCGTACGAGACAGAGCTGCGACGATACAGCTCACCGACCAGAGGTCAAGGGCAAATGGGGCAAGTCTAGCGAGTAGGTGTCATTTATGGTACCGGAAGATCCTCCATCGAACTTCAGCTGGTGCCCAGATTGGGGGGTAGGGGGGGGGGGCTGGACACGAAGTGCATTGGATCTGTGGAGGCTTAGCGTGCTGCCCAGGTCTGAATGCACTGATGTATCATGCGTCGTTCATCGGAGTAGCGCTGTGACCGACTGTCGCATTGAGTCTCTTTCCAACGAGGTTCCAGATGAAAAGGCCGACTCCGACAGGGGGCGCAAGAAGAAAAACAAAAGTGGTGGGGGCCCTGGCTTGTCAACCAGAGAGAAGCGGAGTCTATTTCCGTTCTCAGGCAATCTCCAACAGGTACTGTCAAACCGGAAATGCCAGACCACAGTTTCAGCGACACGTCTCTCCCCTCATTTTACTTCCAGGGTCCGTCAACCTCTTGCCCAAGTCCTTCATCCCAAGCCAATGAGTGACTATGATGGAGTCATCTGAAGGAAAGCTAGTTACAGCTAGTTCCATCGGTCATACAGCACGAAAACCATACCACATGGGTGTCAGTCGTCGAAATGGTAGCTGGTGTCGCGGTCGTCACGCAAATACTCTCTGGCAAGCATCAACATCATCACCATCATCACGGTATCAACAGTGATCGCAAGTTTGACGAGTCCCTCAGTGCCAAGATGTTTGGAGCTTGGGGTCTCACCACATCCATGGTGTTCTACCCCCTGATCTCTGAACACCCTGAGTCGGCCTTTGGCTTTGGGCTTCCGGCTGCTGAGTTCCGGATTCTGCGTCGGACTTTTGAATACTGCTGGGCTTGGTGTGGGAACAGTAGAAAAATGAAGCACGGGTACTGGCTCTTCAAAGATGATGACGATGACGGTGATGACCAGCAAGCCGGCAAGACTTGTCATTTTGTGATAGCCATAGCGCTCGGTTCTTGCCCAGTAAGGATCGAACCCACTGTCACTGAGGTCATCACTACTTCAACTACACTTTGCTAGACGAGTCCAGCGACGATTTTTTCTGGTCGAAGCTTCAAGGCTTCCTTCAAGTTGCCGCTACTCGGCTGGCATTGACATGCCAAGGCAGGTGGACAAGGTACAGCCAACAAGTCACCGAACTTATGGAGAAGTTGGTCAACAAAAATCAATTAGGATCGAAAGAGATCAAAGAGAGACCAACAAGCGATCACGTGGCAGTCAACAACCCGAAACTCAGAAATGCATGAAATTACAGTTTGCAGCCTGTGAACACTAGTATTTCTCTCGATGTTACCATTGCCTCCAAGGAAGAAGGAGGGAAGCAAGCAAGGAAGGAAGGAAGGAAGACAACGAAAAACTAACCTGACCGAAAACACGAGCCAAACCGTTTTTTAGCCGCCGCGGCTGATGCTTTGTACCCCCAGCCTAGAGGCTCAGGACTCAAGTGCAACAATCCATCGTGGAATATCCCTGGGCTTGCAAAAGCGTTCATCTTACAGTTGAGTTAAGAATTCCTTGTCAAAATCCTGCGCTGCCTATCCCGCGAACCCCTCCAGCGAGGAAAGAGGGTTCCCCCAACCACACTGTTGCGACGCCGGTTGGACAGCAGACAACCAAAAGCCACCAACAAACACATAATCCTGAACTATCTCCAAGGTTGGTACTACGACCATTGTTACTACTGCTACTGCTACTGCTGCTACTACTACTACTACTACTGCTACTACTACTACTACTACTACTACTACTATTACTACTACTATTACTACTACTAGTACTACTACTACTACTACTACTACTACTACTACTACTACTGCTTCTGCTACTACTACTACTACTACTACTACTACTACTACTACTGCTATGGTCAGTATTGCCAGTATTGGTACTGTTGCTACTATTACAACTACTACTGCTGATGCTACGATTACTACTATTACCGTTGTCACTAGTATTACTACGATGACTACTACTACTACTACTCCTACTACTACTACTACTAATTACTACTACTACTACTACTACTACTACTACTACTACTACTACTACTATGAGTATTGCTACTATTTTGATTTCTGCTATTGCAAGTGTTACTACTCTTGCTACTCGTACTACTACCACTGTGGTTACTACTGTTACTTTGAGAACGGTTTAGATCTTGTAATCCTTGTTTGATTTTGATCCGAAGTTCGATATTTTATAGTTTAGCCTTTGAAATACAAGCTTTTGATGCTTTCCCCTATTTTGATTTCCTTGCGATCCTAAGGTCTCGATTGTTTTGGATCCCTATTTGATGTTGCTTCCTCAGCCGTCAGTTCTCGCATTTTGAAGCTCGCAAGGGTCCCAGACTGGAGCTGCAGACGGTGAGCTTTGACTCCATCGGACGCTTCGGGCTGTCGAACACAGGCCTGACTTCAAAGATCATGTGTCGAGCCTTGAAATTGAATGAGTCGGAAGCCGTTTGTTCGAGCCGAAGCTATGCCGCTGTGCCTCCTTGAAACCTGCGTGGGTATTTATCGTTCTCGTAGTCAGTGAGCATTGACCATGTTGATGCAAAAGTAGCAGAACATCAGATGCCAAGTTCGCACCCAGAAGCAAGTGCTTCCAGCTTCGGCAGGCAAGCCCGTTTGTGCGAGATGTGGTCCCTGCTTGACGGAGGCGAGGCCGCGGCTTCGGCTGCGGGTCCTGCAAGGTCCACGTAGGATCGAAGTTCGAACGACCACAAGATATTCTAACTGAATGGTAAGTGTCAACCCGAAGCCCTCACCTCGTCTTCGTATGACTCTGGCCGGTGCCTGAGGCGAACGCTGGCGAAGCGGCCAAAAGCCTTCGCATTCCGCAGTTCGTGCTCGCAGGCGAGGCTTCGTCATTAGAAGCTGCAGGCTTTGTGTTCCGAGTGGAACAACCGCTGCACAAGCTTTCGCGTTACTACTGAGCTTTGGGGGGCTTTCCGTTTTATCAAATCCCGAATCCCGGAAGGTGGCAGCATGTTTTAATTATTTTTTCAATGTCACAATTGATCACGTTCGAATTGCTGCTTTCGTCGCTTCTCCCATTCTCACCTCTTTAATCTCTTGGTCACGGGCTTCCGTGAGAGTCTTCTGAAGAACCAAGTACCAGCTTAGGGTCAATGCCGAGCTGTTGGAGGCAGCTTTGATGCGGGCGGGACCGGGTGGTCGCTTGTTGGTTTAGGTTTAAGGGATTGTTGTAGACTTTGTCGCCTTCAAGATGGAATTTGAATGTTGCTGTCTCCCTCGACCCAAGTGCAAGCAGATATGCAGGTGGAGAGGCTTCAAAAGCATAAGCACTGTGTTTCATCATTTGGCAGCAGTGTCCCTAAGGTCGGCAATCATCACCAAGCGATCAAAGAGTACCTGCAACGCATCGGCTGCTGAACGAGGTTCAGGCAGCCTGAGTCGATTCAGAAGCATTGGAAGTTGCTGACAGTGGAGTGCGTGATGCTTCAATCGTTCAACTTAAATTATCTCAGAGCAGCTCTCAAAGTGTCGAAGGTGAAGATGGCTCTGCTTAGCTTAGCATTCCCTGTGATCGGTAGTGAGTAGTGCTGAAACACCTCAGTCAGTCTCAATTGTGGAATTCAGTGAGCAGCATTTGTTCGAAAGCTGGTGCGTTCTGTGGCGGTGTTCCGTTTTCAACTGGTTGGACTTTCTGCTGGATTAGCGCACACACATGTCGTGTCGAAGCTCATGCCCACCCACTTTTTGAACTTTGGGGTCGCTGTGTGGTTTTGTGGTTGGGATGTTTCATTAACTCAGATTTAGTGCTGTGGGCATCACAGGACTTTGAGATCTGAACCAGCTCCAGCAATTGTGAGCGCTTGGTGGGGGGGGCTCCCTAGATCCCAGCATCACAGCCCGACAGTACAACCAACACTGCAAGCTTGCCTGTGGGCTTCACCTTTCAGGGTGCGAGTGAGGTTAAGCCTGACTCTGGGTTTGGCTTGTGGGGTTGCATCTTCGGCAGCACCCCTCCTAAACATCACACCCTCCAGACTTGCTGTTGAAAACTTCTGAACTCGAGGCCAGCAACTACATGCCTTCCTTTCGATTTAAGCTAGGCCTGAGAGCTTGTGGGGGATGCCCTTCCTTGTTAGCACAATGGCCCGGGGCGCCGCCAAAACCAGAGTAGAAGCTGTTTACGCTTCAATCCAGACATGCTGTTGAGAGCTTCTGCATTCACTTGCCTTCCTCCTTTTCTGGCAGGAATCCACAGATGCGACGGCGGAGGGTGATGCTTGGGGAGAAGAGGAGGCTGGGGCCTTGGAACTGTGCCAAGAAGAGACTGTGGAAGTTCCGGGTGAGGCTGAAGATCAGCCGTGGGAAGATGAGGAGTTTCAGGAAGACGAAATGGAACTGGGTGAGGCGGTGGGCGAAGACGGCGAGCCGCCTCCTGAGGAGGCCGAGTCGGCCTGGGGATGTTGCAACAGGGTTTTCTTTTGTTGGCTTGGTGATGTCACCGGCTTTAGTGGTTCAGCGGATGAATTCAGCTTTGGTTTGTGGTTTGCCTTTTTCCGTGGCAATTCACTTAGCATGAAGCATCCAAGCTTCATGCTGCGCGGAGGAGGAGCTGCCTTTGGAGGCCTCGTTTGCACCTCCTACAAGGAGAGGGTGCAGGATTTCGTGGTTGAGAGAATAAGCACTTGTTTATTGGCATAATAGACATCCTTTTAGTCTGCAGCTCTCAAAGATGCATGGCGCGAGGATGTCGGTCTCAACCTTCAGGGAAGCAGGCTGTCATATTTGTTGCTCCGTGAAGTATTAACTGTTCCATCATGGAGAGTAAGTTTGGGATTGCGGAAAAGTCGAAACCGAAACACTCTGCTATGGAGCTTCATCCAATCATTAATCCTGAAACATGTGTTGTTCAGGGTTCTACGATGCTGGCTCATCGCTCTATACGCCCATGCCCCGCACGCATCCATTCACAACATTATTCAGAAACCTTCGATGGGGGCAGACCTCCAAAAGCGCCTCAACAGAAGCTTCTTGCATTTGTTGGCTCTTTGCAGAAGGGTGTTGCTTTCTTTTTGAGTTGCTCCTGTCGACTTGATGTCTGATATTGGTTCTTTTACAGCTTGGCATTGGGAAATCCTGGGCTGCAACTCATCTCCTGATCCCAACAAGGCCGTATTTCCGTTAGAAGACATTGCAACGCTGCGCGAAGAAAGGACTTCCAACATCCCTCCTGCTGTGCCGAGAAGGGTGCCGCCCCCAAGCTTTCCCAAGGGTGCTAGCAAGTCACTCGTTCAGAGGTCTATGTCTATGTCTTTGTTAAATGTTTACGGTTATGGTGTACAGAATTAGTTTACTGGAAGTCAGGGGTTACTCGTGTAGATCAGTCTATTAAAACTCTACTTTGTTATCATCAACAACATGTTTATCATGACTGCTGGTCGACGATCATAAGAATTGCCACAGTCAGTTCCACTGCTTATGCTACATCTTTTTTGTCTTAGCTAGCGCAGTAGATTTTTTAATCAGGGGATTTTGTTCGTATAGTTGCTACGACTACAATACTACCAGCACGAGTAGAACTTGATAACGTCACCGAAATCCACCGAGTTTCCACTGCAGGCGTCCAACGGCCCAGTGGGAGCTTCGGCTGCTTCACAACTCTTCAAGCGAAGGCTCCGGAGCCTTGTGGATTTGTAAGGCCATTGTAAGGGTTTGCGAGGCTTTGGCTTCGCGTTCAGGGTTAGGGAAGTGCGGTTTAGGGAGGAATTTCATGTCAACTTCTTCCTGTCTCGGTTCAGCGTGCAATGGTTCTATAGGTCTCGTGCTGAGCTGAGAGATTTGGGAGGTACATGGCACATATTCGGATTTTGGGCTTGCCGTGTTCTGGGCAGATCGTTGGAGAAGGTCACTCGAACATTCACGAAGATATCTCAGCAGAACGGAGAACTTAATTACCCTCTACGTCAATGAGCTCGGACCACACCATAACACACGTCGAATCGCCAGGGGTGCATAACCCAAGACCACCTGCGATCCGTTGCGACTGTGTAGAAACTAGCTGAGATCTGCAAGGCCTTGTGAAACACTGCGTAGCCTTGTCCTGCAGGGCAACAGATGCTGCCAAAGAAGGCTCGGGACTATGCCAGTTTAGGATGGAGGGCTTGACCAAAAAAAGGTGCTGGCTTGGGATCTTCCGGATGTGTCATGTGCCGTGCTTTTCTGGATCTGCGGCTTCAGGGCTCCAGGTTGCTAAAGTTTAGGCCACAGGAGTTTTCGTGCACCATGTCCGGGCACACTGCTGCAGAAATATCTTAGCCGAAATACAGGCCTAGAGCGAAGCTGAAATCTAAACATACCTGTCGAGCTGACACGAGTGATATCATCGCGGCTTGTAGGAGTTTGGGTGCCCAACCTCGCCGTTGTTTGCTTTCGAGTTGAGCTGCAGGGTTGGGGCTATTGAGAACAGCTTAGTTGGTTGGGGGTCCTTCGGCTTGAAGGCAATCTAAACTCACCTTGTTTCGCAGCGCCCGTCGTCAAAAGACAGGCAGCAGAAAGCAGGCATCGGTTTGCTATAATCATAATCAGTCTCCCGGCCCGCAGGCTCCTTCGCAGCGATCGCTTCAATTCCCAAAGCCAATCCAGCGGCCAAAGGCCGAGGCGCCTCATGCCACAAGTCTGGCCCTAGCGCCAATCCACAATGGCCTGACTAGAGGCTTGGGGTGAGGGAGCCTGGTACGAAGCCAGCAAACTCTGCAGCCTCAAACCCGGCATGCACGCAGCAGTACTGCAGGCTCTATCGGAACTGCAGCGATCGCTTCCATTCCCAGAGCGAACCCCGCGGCCAAAGGCCGAGATGCATCGGATTTTCCGTTTGAAGTTGACGGCGTTAGCTTGCAGTGAGCCAGTGGTGCGCGGCAGTGTTGCCTTTGTCACGAATTAGTCTGACGATTGCCAGGGACTAGGCACACGAATCTGTGTATGAGAACCTCATGAGCATCCAGTCCAGATTCGTTACGCGGATCGAGTTTCGCATGTTAGCTGGGTGGGGTTTGGTTTGGGTTGTAGCTTTCAGCAGCAACCAGAGGCTTCGGT